TCTTTCTCTCTGTCTCTGTCCCTCTGGCTCGTTCGCCATTCCTGTCCACCGTTCCGTCTATCTATCTCCGTTCCCCTCTCTCCTCCGTCACTATCTCTCTCTGTCTCTTGGCTCTCGCGCACTCCGCCGGAACTCTTCGTTCTCGAATTTAGGAGGAGCCGGCGGCCATTACCGCTTACGTAATCTTTTTACAGTGGCGGCAGCACCTTGTTAAGCAAAGTTATTTAGCGCGCGACGCCGAGTTCGCACGGTCGTCCGGCGTGTCCCCATCTATCCCAGTCGAAAACCGCCGTCTTCCCATCTATTTCGACCGGGGAACCGACTACCGGTCGATTTCTTGATCAGTCTATGCAATATCGCCGCCAATGAACGTCTACTGGTGCTCCAATTTCTTTTTTTTCTGTATCTGCAAGAGGATGTATGCGCTTGTCGCTCGAGGAAATTGATTTTTCGAGTACGGTGGACGATGATTCTATGGTCCGTGATATTTTCTGGTAGCTGTGCTTACTGGAATTCATCTGTCTTTGATTATTTCACGGCGGGGGAGGTATTTCGTGCTCACTGAGTATGTATGTTTTTTGGAAAGTTTAGGGTTTTCCACATTTTGGTAGGATTTGTGAGATATAAGAAAATTATTGGAACAGGTACGACGAATCTTGATTTCACAGTTTTTACGCGTTTTCAAAGTTATCATTTGGTAGAATCTTTATGTACGCTGGTTTTACATTAATTCAACTAAATAATTAATTATATAACGTGTTCGATAAATGTCGAGCAGATTGCTATACGACTCCTAAAGATTTACCGACATTCTGGGATAAAGAATAAATCTGAAAAGTAAATGAATTAACCTGGAACAGTAAGTTCCTCTGATACGACATTCTGCAACCCGAGACAGTCAATGCTGAATATTCCCCAGACATGCGATGGTTTTAATAGCTCTATTTAATCGGGGCCGTATTCAATATTTAGAATCATTTATAGACGCACCGCGTAATTGACTTTGCAAGTTGCGTGCCTAAACGCCATCAGAATAAAATATGCCCGGCAATAAAATAACTTGGTACAACTACAATATTAATTCGCGTTCCAATATTACTTTGTAATTTGCAATCTTCCGCCGCCGCAATAAATCTAATACGATAATGTAATTCTAATCTCGCGGACGAGCGCAAATAGAAGAAGATATTCTAATTCATCCTGAATTATTCATGGGGAATATTATTCCATTTTTCGTTTGTCGTTTTTCCACGTCACGTTTCCCGGCAACGACGGCTAAATGTTCGCGTCACAGGGACCGCGAACTTCTTGAATTAAGAATCCGCTGTATCCTATTCGTCGCGCGCGGCTCGGGCTCGCAGAATTTATGCTCGGGGAGCGCGCGAGCGCGCCGGGGGATACGCTATCGGCTGACAAACGCGTCTGCAGTCAATTTGCCTAGGAACAGATGCGTTTCTATTATCTGTCAGGGGCGCCGGCTCTTTGTGGATGCATAAAGAGGCGTTGCTAATGGGATTGAGGTTATTATGGTTGCGGGAAAGGTCATCGTGGGAATATCTCATTTCTCTATCGTTTTGCCGGTCACTTATACTTCATTGAAATAACTGTTTATTTAACTCGATAACGTTACTCGTGAACGCCCATCTTGTTCAATCATTTTTCTCCAATTTCTAGGTACATTATCAACATAACAGTCTATCGATAGAAATAAACAAGAAATAATACAAATCACAAGTCGTCCTTAAACAACTGTATCTCATAAACCTTCAAAATCATCTGGATAAACAGCTATTCAATTATTCTCCCACTACCACGAGCGACAGAATTTCAATAAATTCCCCTCCCTTACTGCAGAAAAACTAAACCAATCAACTTCCCAAAACCACAAAGAAATTCCCACTGAAAACACAGAAACTTCCACGCGATTACCTCACGGAACCTCAGCAAACAACACGGAAACCCTTCCGCGCGAGAATACAATCCCACACACTCGCTGAAACCGCGCAATCGTTATCCCTTTTCACATCTCATCTTCCGGTAGCTCCTCAAAACCAGCGAAGTCGGTAGTCCCCTAAATCTCGTTCGCGATCCTCCCCTGAACCCCGCGTCCCCGATAATCCGTCCGCGACAGGTCCAAAGGAATCGTTCACCCTTAGTCGCGGGGTTAAGCCCGGTAGCTGGAAGTTGGCGAGAACGTCGGTTCGCGTCCCCCGTCCTCTAAAGCGGTACACAGCGAAGAGGGGCTGGAGACGGCGGCGGACGTGAGGAGCGGAAACTGGCGAGTTCCTAATTTACACAGCCGCCGCATTCTCCGAAGCCCTTTTGGCCCAGACTCCGGAGTGCCGTCGGGAACTTCGCCGGCGATTAAAACGCTTTAGTAATTAACTGGGTCTCCTCACCTTCCGCGGTAACAGTTACCAAACCCACCACCTCCTTGCGCCAACCAGTGGCGAGGATTGCTCTCCCTCTCTCTCTCTTTCTCTTCGTGTCTCCTTCTTTCTGTCTGTCTCCCTCTCTCTTCCCCTGAACTCCTCTTTTCCCTTCCGTCGTCGATCGCGCGTAGTTCTCTTCTTCTCACCCTCTTTTCCCTCCCTCTTTCCCTTGGCCGCTGGCTGGCCCGCTGGCGCATATTTAGGGATCGCTCTGGTTAGAGGTTGCCCGGGCAACCACCACGTCGAGAAACCCTCTGTCGTTACCAGGGCAACCTTCTCCGCTCCTTCATCTTCCCTCTCGGCCTCCTTCGCACGGCCACCGCGCCGGATTCAATTCGTGAGAGCGGGAACGAATCGACTGCGCCGCGGAAAAAGGAGGTGCGCGGGCGAAACCATGGCCTTTCTGATTCTGGGGAGGGGCGGAGGGGTTAGGGAAGGATGCCGCGCGGTTCGGTGATTGTATTTGATAGCCCGACGCCCTGGACGCGCAACGGAGACCTTGATTAAAGCACGACTCGCCGGGTTTTCGATTTTTCTGGGCAGACTGTGTTCTAAAGGATGATGCTTTCGGGGATCTTCGCGGAGGATTGGAGTGGCTTCAGAATTTTTCCGAGGAGATTGCTCTGTTTCGGATATTAGAGGTTTGAAGGGTGGTCTCTGTTCGTTGTTTCTCGAGTGGATGCATCTGGGGAGGGAGGTACTAGTAAATAAATCTTGATGTATTGTTGCTGAATATTCGCTGCGGAGTTTGAAGACTGGTTCGTTTGCGGTTATTTGTATTAGTAACTTGAGATCTAATTTTTCATTACATTGCAGTATGAGCAGGAGGTTTGATATAAGAACTTGTATTTTCAAAATCTTTCAAGCGATGGGCACTCGGATAATGAATACTATTCAGCAAGGTGATTAAGTTAATCCTAAAATAAAGAATCAATTGACGAACGGTCAGAATCTTCTACTCCCCAGGGATTTCAAGGAAATCCAAGAGTACTCGAATCGTAGGAATCCGAAATTTCATTGTTTGACGAATGCAAGAGAGCATCGGTCGATCGGCAATCGTCAATAAATGATTGCGATGCGTGCATCGGCCAGCGTGGATACCATAATAAAGAAAAATGTCGTCAGCGACGCGAATTTCCATGACGCCGTAGAAAATTCCGGGAAAGGAGCGAACAGAGGGCCATGAAAAATTGATCGAGCACGATATCTCACGTTTAGGCGAATCCGGCGTGGCAAGCAGGACACGCGCGACCCATGCATCAAAAAGCCGCCGGCACCGGGCCGTGCTTTAATATAAAACTTAAATAACGATACAGCAGCGTCATGACGAAAATGGGAAATAATCTTATGAATAAGTTCTTCCCCGGGGCGTGCTCGGCTCAGCCGGCTCGCCGGGAGACCACGGCAAATTTGAGAACCCCCCGCGATTTTACAAATTACCTCTACATGATCGTCGCCGCAGCAACAGCACCGATTAATTCCGCCG